ATTCGCGTCACGATCCATACCATTCCCTCTCTGGGTTCCCTCGCTCTGTAGAGTGCTCGCTACCAAGGGCGGGGCACAGAGTAGTGGGTTGGCCCCGGCCAAACACAAATCAATGCCGCGAACAAACTAATGTAAAAGCCCGCTTGCTGAAGACTAATTCCTATCATGGTGACGGAGGAATGGGCGTTAACGCCGGGTCAGTAACTTGTGGATACGGAATTGAATCATTGCTCCGACCCGACCACAGACACCATGAGAAGATGATTGTGATTCAATCCGCGCACCTAGGAAGGAATGTTAAGATAGAACCCGTTTGCTATGAGTACAATACGTTGCATGCCGCCATTATCTGTTTTATTTTTCTCTTTATCATGTTTTTATACACTCTCTCAACCTTCGCATTCCTTTGTATGGCTTGCCGCATCTGAGGAGAGCCCTCGTTGTGATATCGTCACCCGAATCAGACAGGCTTTGTGGGAGAACCCTAGGCACCCTATGTCCGGGGGGGAGTCGAGGGTCAACGTCCGTATGTGGCAGAAAGAGGAAGCTGCACTTTTCAGATCCAACCGAGCGTATGCACCTTCTGGCTTAGCAATGGCCACCCTGAAGAAACTTTTGCTCAATCTTTTGGCTGATTACTCATGAACCATCATCCCAATACCATTCCAGGGACAACGTCGTTACAGATTGAACGGGATGAATGTCTTTCGCCACTGCTTTTGGAATTGGGCGACCGTCAGTTGGCCTGCTTAGAGGGAAACAAAGCCTAGTAGAAAGCCAGCGAAGGTGGATTTCGCACGTCAGATTACGTTCTGCAAGTAAAGGTGCTCGTAAGTTGAAGATTTGGTTTGTGGGAGTGGAAAACTTAGCACCAGTCCTCGCGTTGTCTTCTGTGGTCGTAGTGTCATGATTATTATGTTACAATTTCGATAGCCTACACTGGTATGTTGGAGAGGACACCTTTTGTCATGGCAAAGCATTGACTCTCGGAAACACGCAAATCTCAAAAGAGGTAGGCTAGAGTCGAACAAAGACTTCACAAGAAACTGGTGCCTTTGTTAACTGGCGACATCCCGCAAAAGTTCCTCGCGACTTGGGCGAGTCCTGGAGCTGACTGTTACCTTGATTGCCGTCAATTCCCTTGGGACAAGACGAGTGCACGAGGTGAGCCCTCGGCTATGAGTATAAATCTCCTCGGATGAGCAGAATGCTTTAGTGGTCCACCCGATACGAGCAGCCTCCTTCTCACCGATAACATTGCCACTCAGCAAGCATTCCGGCGCAAAGCCGCGCCCAACGAGGCTGGGAAAGGTGTTGGCTACCGCCACCTTCAAGGATGAGACCAGGGCTGGCCTTGCTATGGCCGAAGAAAGACTCTGACTTGGAAGCAAAACGCATATCCAAAGCCGTCAGAAAATCGTTGCCGGCGCCGCATGCCAGGGCTTCGACAGCGCCAATGCTCACCTGGCATTGTACTGTGGCTACAACAGACCGACGTATATCGCAGAATTATTGGTATTGGCCGCACTACAGTTTCTATGACTATCATTCGAGGGAATCTTTAGGATAGATTTAGATTTCTGGGCAGAAGCACTCTAAAGCCACCCTCGCGTCGTGCAAGAAAGCCGTTGTGGAACAGGCAGCGGAACTTTCAACCCAAGTCAAGACGGTACCGCAGGTATCATGTCAGTGTAAACGAAGCGTCAGAGAGGTTGCAGAATAACGAAAGAGCACCGTAGTTTGTTAATTGGGATGAAATAGAATCGGCATATACTGTTTTGGAGTGGCTCCATGACTGACAGTAACAGACGCATAACAGAGAATAGGAGACTTAGGGTAAGGGCCTGTAGAAGGAAGATCAATGCCGAGGGTTCGCTGCTTCCCAGGACCGGTAGTGCGCTTGAAAGCTATCGCTAACCGGACGGTACTTAAGGCCGAGCTCCTGGATGCTCTTGCAGTTATCAACTTTGAACGGAATGCTAAGGTTGGCGGTCGACCACTTTTTTGAAATCCCGATGAAGGGCCCGACAGCATACACCATTAGCCTAGGAAGGTTGCGGCTCGGTAGTGCCTTGGGGTCCCTATGCACCGGTCGCACAAAACCAGCCATCTCAAGCAGCGAGATCGTGCGGTCACCCGAGATGATGAAGCGACCGTTCCGCGATTCGTCTTCACCGACCTTGACATGAGCTTCGGCGACGTCCCGCACATCGGCGACAGGATAGGACAGATCAGCGACGCCCATGCGATTGTCGCCTTTATACATGGCCTCGAGCATGTGAAGGCTGCCCGAGATGGACTCGGGTGTCAGGGATGGGCCTACGATCAGGCCTGGATTGATGACGACGAGAGACCAGCGGCACTGGGCGTCGTGCATCTTCCAAGCCTCCCGCTCAGCTACCGCCTTAGAATAAGCGTAGGGATAGTGCGTGACGCTGCTGCTCTGATTCCAGCACGACTCGTCGAGGGTTTTGTTCGGTGTCTTCATCACATCGGCATTGTCACCGAACATTGCGGAAACTTGAAGAAAGGCCCGTCAGATATTGACCCACGGCACAAGGATGGGGTTGAGACCATGCGTACCGGATGAGGTGAGGACTACACGCCTAACACTTTCTGTACCATTGACAGATTTCAACACATTTTTGGTCCCTTGTAGTGCTGGCTCGACGCAGTCCTTAAAGCCGTCCTTGATCTGGTCGGGCACGAGGAAGGGCGAAGCGACGTGATAAACAACTTGGCAGCCCTGCATGGCCTGAGTAAAAGAGTCTGTCGTCATAAGATCGGCCTCGAACAGGTGAAGGCTATCGGGAAACTGGTTTTGAAGGTCAAGCAGCGGTTTGCATTTTGCCTTGTTTCTGAGAGAGCGGACGGTGGTGTGAACACGATGGCCTCGCTCGAGGAGGAGTTTGACCAGATAGAGGCCGACGAAGCCTGTGCCTCCAGTAACGAGAGATAACGACATTGCTGATTTGATAATTTTGTGACGCAAATTTAACAGGTGCAGATGCAAGAGGCTAAGTAACGAAGGGGGGGCTATTGTAGATATTTGAACCTCGAGCTCGCTTGACTCGTGCGACGATATGGACATGTTTGCCTCCCTGCACACTCGGACCAGGATCTGGCAAAGCCGGCAACAGCTTAATAGTTCTGGGTATATAGTATTACTGATGAGAGGGATTACGAACGACGGCCCATGTCTTGACGAGGTAGGGGTGGCGGTTGGTGTTGCCCATACGCGCCGAAAAACTGTCACACGTCCCTGATCCTTTTGGTTTAGCGGAGCCACCACTTCTATACGTAAGACTCTCATCAATTCAGAACTTATAATGGCCTCAGTGCATGGAGGTTAGTAAGAACTGGCTGGAATGCCGGCGAGAACCCTGGCCAGCACAATTGAGAGGCGAGGTACTTGACAACTTGCCAGGGACGCCAAATCCTACGACTAAGTCGCGGCCACCCTGTACGTACTGTGTATACCTAAGATTGTTCTCGGTCTTAACGGGATAATGGCATAAAAAGAGACGCGGCACCTAGTTGTTCACTAATGTTCACTAAAGCCTCCCGCTCAATACTGACTGTGGCCGGCGACTCCGCAAGAGGATTACTGCCTCATAGTTCATCTGATCGAGGCTCAATGAACGGCTGGATTATGCATCAGTAATATCACGGAGATAGGCCTAATCACGTTTTTGCCGGTTTTAAGAAACTCCATTGCGTACCAACGGAACCGGCCGGCTTTTCCGTCATTTCGATCAAAAGATAAATAGGTACAGTCTGTAGGCTCTCGTGACGTTTCTTTTTCTGGTTCGTCATTAGACTTGGGCTCTTTTCCTCAGTTGCTGCGATATGACCATGATTCCCCCCTCGATCTACCTAATTACCGGTGCCAACCGTGGTATTGGCAAGGGCTTTGTGCAGCGAATTCTTCAAAAGCCTTCCACCACAGTAGTTGCCGCCGTCCGCGACCCTTCTCATCCAACGTCCAAGGCGCTTGTCGACCTGCCCAAGGGCGCTGACACGAAGCTCATCATCGTCAAGCTTGACTCTGCCATAACGACCGACGCCGCCAAGGCTGTAGCGTATATCCGCAGCCAGGGCATCACGTCTCTGGATATCGTCATCGCCAATGCCGGCATCGCCCAGGACGGCACCAGCGTCCTGAGCACGTCAGTCGCGAACACCCTCAAGCACTTTCAAGTCAACGCCCTCGGCCCGCTGACCCTTGTGCAGGCGACTGCCGACCTGCTCAAGGCTAGCAAGACTGTGGCTCCCAAATTTGTCGTGATATCCACCATCATTGGCTCGATCAGCTCACAGGAGATCTTCAGCCACTTTCCCAAGACGTCGAGCCCGTACGGCGCCAGCAAGACGTCTCTGAACTGGTTCATTCGTCTCTTGTCCTTCGAGGAGCCTTGGTTGACCAGTATCCTGTTCCACCCCGGCGTTGTAGAGACGGATCTTACAGTGGCAAGCGGCATGGACCTCAGGGCTCTCGACGCCATCTCGGTGGAGGCAAGCGTGGCGAACATGGTCGAGACGACCTTTGCATTCGAGCACAAGGAAATCACTGGAACATTCCGGAACCATGATGGTGCTATTATTCCGTGGTAGATTTCTCCGGTGACACCACCCATGGGCAGGAATAAAGCAGCGTAGGCGGATAATCTCGCTTCTACTTCTTCTCGGTTCCCGTTTGGTAGCCTTGTGACTGATGCTACTGCCGTGTTTCACGCTTGATCTTGCCGATTTCGCGGTGAGCTTTGAGTCCTCTGCTATCCATAATGCACTGATCAACCCCCGTCAAAGACATGTAATCGGTTGGAAGGGACGCGTCGTTAGCATGCGGGCTTGTGAGGCGTTATTCTGAGTGACCAAGATAACTGGCATGCTTCTGACTGTCGGCAGAGGGGACACGGGGCAACGACGGTCCGAGTACTTGTGATCATTCACTTAGTTGCTGAGTCCTACAGTCTACACGTGGCTTCGAACACTGTTCTGGTAATTGTGTTCAAGAGCCATTGAGCTGCTCCCTTTGCGCACGACACGTCCACTCTCACAGAGGCCTCTATTAACCCCCTGTGCCCAGAAGCTCCGTCTTGGGCTGTACGTCATGGCAAACATCCTCTACTGCTATGAAAGCCGAGAGTCTGACACTCAAGTCTCGTGATGACAAGTCACGCAGTTCCAGTCAAGGACGTCACTTGATGACGAGCTGCACAAACTGCCTTACAAGCCATCTTCATCAAACTGTACAACCAAGCTGTGGTTGCCTGGAGACAGGGGCAAACTTAAGGGGACATTTTATGCACCTTGAACCTACCACCGTGATGCAATATGCTGTAATCATGCATTATGCTGCAATCCGCGCAAAAGGCGCGAGATGCCAAGCAGGTTCGTCGCGCCAACGTACTAACGGTTTTGGAACGACATGATCAGAAAGCGAGCCATGAAAGGAAGCACCTCATTTTCTGAGCTTGAAGGTCGTTCCTCCGACCCTGGGAGGTGTATAGATGTTTCATCGCGTATTCGGGGAGACGCCTTACTAGGCGGCAGATAAGACGGCCGATAAGAGTTCCCACTTGGACCTCACGTCTAAAGTGTCCCTCCCTCCAAGTTGCATCGTTGACATCATCCAAAAGCCGACAACCCTCCACGACATGTCGTCATCACCCCCGATAGAGAGACACGACACAAGACGCCATGCCTACGAACCTTCCTAGACCATGCTCACTATGCATCCGCCGGCTCAGGCCGCGATCGCTCCCCACCCGCAGCCCTTCCCGCCGCCTCCTCTCCTCTGCCTCCCAAGACACACCAAGCAAAGACCCGTCCGCCACCGCCTCCGAAAAGCCAGGCAACAAGGCCCCCGCCGCTGCACCCCAAGATGGCCCTCCAGACGAAGACAGCCTCCAAGGCGCCCTCTCCCGCCGCCTCGAGCAAGCGACCGAAGAAGCCCTGACAGGCAGCACATCCGGCTTCCGCGCCGTCACCACGGAAGCAGGCTTCTCCCCGGCTCTCAAGGACCGCCTCTTCGAAAAGGTCCAGGCCGCCACGTTCCAGGACGCCCACGCCGCCGCCTTTGCCGAGGCGGGCCTCACGGCGCGCGAGGGCACCGTGCCCGCCGTATCGGCAGCGGCGTCGGCGGCGACGCCCTTGGACGGGCACCGAGACGCAGCACGACGCCGTGCTGCGCATGCTCGACGACGCCCACAGGCCGCTGCCCGTGGCGCCGCGGGGCACCTACCGCATCCCGGAGGCCCGGGGGGTTGCCCGGGAGGCAAAACCCCAGTTAAAGGCGCCTGGGTCGGGGCGGCCCAAGGGCCGGAAAAAGGGCGGTGGCAAAACTCAACTTAAAAGAAGCGGAGGGGGGGGGGGGGTTCATAGGCACTGTGCGCTCTCACGGGATGTTGAACGATGTGGATACTGCTGCTAATGGAGGCGCGCGAGGACCTCATCAACTGAAAGTTGCCGCGTTCCCCCTTGCTTTTGCTTCCTGTAATGGCATGTCTCGAATGAGGGGGAGAGGCTCTGCAACATGGCCTCCGGCACTTGGTGTAAGTCCCTTCTCTCGGAGCACAACTCGTAAACTCCCGCTTCTTCACCGCCCTGTCAGCTAAGAGACGGTGCGGGGCGTTCAGTGATCCCGACTCTGAATGTCAAGGAAAACCGCGTAGAAGCATTAATATGACAAAGACGACCAGACTTGGACCAAAGCCAACTGGATCTCGTTAGGTTTACAGGGTTGGCAGCGGCAATTGTCTACAAAGCACAGGCGCCGAGGGTAACTCCTGTTCCGGTTCATATCTTAGAGTTTAGGCAGCTGCAAAGGGATAAGACGGCTCCCGTAAAGGCTCGCGGCAAATGTCACTTTCTGGAGATACGACTGGGCGTCACGATCCATACCATTCCCTCTCTGGGTTCCCTCCCTGGGGTAGAGTGCTCGCTACCAAGGGCGGGGCACAGAGGTG